AGGCAGAAAGTTGGATGAAGAAAGACTTTACCTCCCCCCCCTTCCTCCCCTCAGCCCTGCCTGGGTGTCAGCAGACACGATCCTGCTGGAACATAGCCCTACCTGCTATGGAATCTCTGTATGCCCCTAAAACCACCCAGACTTGAACCCAAAGGCCAATCCAGTCATCACCCTTACTTCTGATCCCTCTGCTCTGACCACTGGGATTTTTTTCATAGATGTGTATTCCAGCTGACTCGCTGAGCCCACCCCCACCCTTAGGTTCACACTAGGAAAGCTGAGCCCAGCTGGGGAGCTGCTGCAGCATCTGGAAGGCTGTCCCCAGCAGTGAAAAGGTATCTAACAAGGCCACTGGGAAAGTAAGGACAGGAGGGAGGCATAACATGGGGGCTTGGGGTCCCAGTCTCTGGGGGGTGAGGGAGAGAGGCCGTATTTTGCATCAGCATCCCAAAGAGTAGTAGGAAATGGGGGGACAGGGACAGAGCAAGAGGGGTAACCCAAGGATGTGCTTCTCACTGGGATGCTGCTCCTACCCAAGAGCTCAGAATCAGGAGCCCCAGGGTCCCGTTCCAGTACTGTCATATCACTTTCTTCTCTACGCTTCCCCATTTGTAAAATGAAGGGGTTGCAATGCACATGGAGACTCCTCTACCCAGCTGGGGAAGCAGAGAGCACAGGGAGAAAGGGAGTAAAAGCAGCAGAAGGTATCAGGCTTCACCCAGGGTGGATGAACCTGGATACAATAGAGGGAGCTCCCCTGCCCCCCGACACAGCAAAGGGAAGTGGCGTGTGTCCCCAGGGTCCAGCTTGCTTCCCATGTGCCAGGAACAAACACACACACCCCTCATTGCCCCAGCCAGTCCTTGCTCCAAAGAGGTGAGGGTGGCATCCTGAGGTGAGATGTCAGCTCAGCAAGGCCAGAGTGGCCGGGCCGCAGGGATTAGCACCAAATCCTGGGCTGCTCTGCATATCATCAGCTTCACAGCTGCTTAGCAGCACCCTGTCCACACTGTCCCCTTGTACCTCCCCACATGTACTAACTTCCTTCTCAGAGGGAAGCTGGGACCCTACCCCTGCAAGCAGGGAGGGGTTCTAGAGTGGGGCAGCAAGAGAGGTAAAGGCAACCCCAACGCACAGCCTCACCCACAGAAACCTGCCAGGAGCCCCCAGGTACAAGGCTGAACAGAGGGACAGTAAAGTCTTTTCTGCCCAAGGTGGCCTTGGCCTGGAATCACCGTCTTTAGGCCACCCAGGCCCTTCCCTCCAGATGGTTCCTGTCCTTAGAGAGCCAGAGGCTGAGAGCCAGATGGAGCCCCCACAGCTGGGAATTGTCAGCCCCAGCTTCCTGGAGAAAGTGCTCCTGAGCCCCCCCCCCC